GCAACCTCCGCCTCCTGGGTTCAGGCAATTCTCCTGCCTCAACCTCCTGAGTAGCTGGGATTACAGGCATGTGCCACCATGCCCAGCTAATGTTTTGTTTTTTTAGTAGAGACGGGGTTTCACCATGTTGACCAGGATGGTCTCGATCTCTTGACCTCATGATCCACCCACCTCAGCCTCCCAAAGTGCTGGGATTACAGGTTTAAGCCACCGCGCCCGGCCTGAATCCCTCTTAAAGTGCCTTTGAGTGGACATAAAATCCTGTTTGTAATGAGTGACCTCAAAAGGGAAGCCAGCATCAGCAGAGGAAGGTAGAGGGCTGAGCACTTTACTCATGACATTAGAGGACAGTTCTCTATAGTCAGAGTCCTATAAACATGAAATGGAAGCTTTGTTACACAGGGACAGCCACTTGGTGAAGGTGTAGTAAGTGCAGGAGTTGGCAGGACTACAGTGTGAATTCACTTCTGACACGTATTCTTAGAGTCTAGAAAACTCTCTTTGGCAAAATCACATAGGCTTATTCTCAGCCCCAAACTGTATCAGGTGGAGCAGAGTGCCTGGCACTGAGCCAGCCCCCTGTAGGGAGTGTGGCAGTCCCAGGACCCAGTCACTCAGCGGCCTCTCTCTCTGCTCCTTGTCTGACCCAACAGGGACTGGAACTCTGCTCTTATTCCCATTACTGTGGATGATGCAGGCAGAAGGCCTTCTGTTCCTTGGGATCCTGGGGAATCTGGGAGCTGAGCTCATCTGGAAAAAGTTTCCAGCAGTGTTGGTATCCACTTGGGGTGGCTGGCAACATATTAGGGAAATATTAGGGAAAGTTAGAAGATTATAGTCTTAAACCATTTGGAAAGCCAAAAGGTTTTAATGGAATGGGCTGAAGGCAGCCAGTTCATTACATTAGAACTTTAAGTCATAGGGTAAAAGATGGGGACAGTAAAAGCTAACCCAGTTAAGTCTGTTTACCTCCCATCCCTTTGTCTCTACTCTGTTTATTCATGTAAACTTTGTGCTGGATGGCCCTCTCAGGGGGAGGTCAAAGGGGAATTACCCATTAATGGTGTTTACTCTGGGCCCCCCACCCCCAAACAAGATCTTTTATCATTCGTAAAACCATTCTTTAACCACGTTAATTATCCACAAGCATGTGGACTTAGAACTTCTGTTAACAAATCTATACTGAATAAATGTGAGGACAGGGGGTAGTGTTAGCTGCAATCACCCTCTGAAAGCAGCTGACGACCATCCCTCGCCCACTCAGATTCACTGTATTCTAGTGTGTGTGAGTGCATTTTATTCATCTGTCATTAAGTCAGAGTCTGCAGGACAAACCTCCGCAGGTGGTGATCAGTGTCTCAGCTGGTGATCCTGACATGATCAAGGTCTCAGGTAGTGACCCCAATATGATCGAGGTCTCACAGCAGAAGAAGAGGAGTGAGAACTGCTCATGCAGCCTTGACCATGGGATGGGACTTTATTCAACTTTTTGTGCTCTGTCAAGATTCCTAAATCACAAATAGAAGCTTTCTATCTTCTGCCAAGTTTTAAAACATATTTGTTAGCACAAAAACTCTCTATTCATGAATAGTTTGAAGGAATCCACTGCAATAAGACTTGGTCCTTAAGCCCTTGAAGGAGAAAATACATCCATTTCACAATATCTTCTGGATGTTTTTTGAGGTTTGTACACACATATAAATCAATTTTGTAACGTATGTTTTTCCAGAAATTGTTTCATGATTTTTCACTTGAATAGACATTAACTATATATTACATCCCCTTAGAGATTTGCTGTTTTTGTTGTTTTGCACCCAGGTTGTATGGTATAGCCTATTGCTCCTGGGCTACCAACCTGTAGGGCATGCTGCTGTACTGAACACAATAGGCAACTGTAACACAATTGCAAACATTTGTGTATCTAAATGTGTCTGCATATGGAACAGGTCCAATAAAAATGCGGTATAAAAATGAAATATGGTACACCTGTATAAAGCACTTACCATGAATGGAGCTTGCAGGACTGCAAGTTGCTCTGGGAAGTGGGCGAGTGATGAGCGCATGTGAAGTCCTAGAGCATTACTGCACACTATCGTAGGCTTTATAAACATCGTATACTAAGGCTGCACTCAATTTATTTTAAAGTACTTTCTTCAGTAACAAATTAACATTATCTTACTGCAAGTTTTTTATTTATAAACTTTTAATTGCTTATTCTTTTATAATAACACAGCTTAAAATGAAAAAATCATGCAACTATGTAAAATGTTTTTCCTTCTTTATATCCTTTTCTATAAGCTAGTTTCTATTTTTAATTTTTTTGTTAAAAACTAAGATGCAAACACACACATGACACAGAGACAGGATCATCAATAAAACTCACTAAGGCTGAAAATTAGGTTCAGATTAGCACAGGCATTAAGAAAGGGGGCTTTGGTTCAGTTGTGTAATGTGCACTAGACAATCCCACCAACCTGCATGCACACACACACTGCCTGATACCCCCAAAGGAGCCCTACACAAAATCTGCACAGGGAGCCTCAGCCTCTTCCTTTGTGGGTTCATATTCACCAATGATATATGGGCCCAGATGACAAGGGGCAGACATATGCTGTCTCTGCTATTGCTGATTAAACAAATATAAGTTTGATTTGCTTATTAGCTTATAGAGTTCGTGGCACACTGAAGTTTATACCCTGAAATAAACAACAGTGAATGAAAAGCACAGCAGAAAAAGAGAACAGCTTGTAGATTGTAAAAGCTTGAGCAAAAGTGGTCATGAGAGGCCTAAAGTTAGATTATCTGAGAGTGCCCCATTAACCGTGGCACATCCTCGGTGTGGTTGCAAGGCAGGAAAACACTGCCTTGGTCCCGCGAACTCCTTTTCAAGATGGGGTCTGCACAGGGGTCTGCTCTAGTGTCAGCACCCGGGAAAGGTCGGCAACTTCTGCTCACCAGCTCCGGGAGGGTCTTTGAAGATGGCAGCTGGCAAGGCAGGAAGGCCTTGCAGACAGAGAGAGTGGAACACCTCCTGCTCTGCCTATATTCTTAGAATATGGGGTAATCTCACTTGCCCTATGTCCACAGTGATCGAAAGATAAAAGCCCCTTGATGCATTGTGTGTGGTCAGACCTGGTGGCTTCCTACCTGCTGTGTTCTGGTGCAGCTGCATATGGATAATGATCAGTGGTAAAACTTGGTGTACTAGATTAGCTTCTCTTAGAAGAACCACCTGTTTCATTGTATTCTAATAATGCATGCTTCTCCCCATGGCTATCTTGTCCCACAATAGTTTCAAGGCCTCCCCCGATAACACTCCTCTGCTTTCCACTCCTCAAATAATGTGTGTGCACCTAATAAAAGCCTGTGGAAACCAGAACTTGGGGGCAACATGGTCCTTGCACCTTGCATTGGTCCCCTGGACCCACTCTTTGACCTCTTTCTGTGTCTTTGTCTTTATTTCCTTTCTCAATCCCTCATCACCGCCAGTGCTCAGGGCACCCACAAACAGGGTTGGGGCTGGTACCCAACAATGATATCCTCCAACTCAGCATCCAGAAGCCAGGTCCTACCACCCTCCTGTGCAGCATAGTCAACAGCTCTGCACAGTCCCCGTGTCTGGGCTTGTGTCCTCAGAAGTACTCACACCAGTGACACGGCAGAGGTGGTGGGAACTTGACACCTGCTCAGTCAGACAGGCTCCTCTTGGGAAGGCTTATGAAGGACAGGGGTCAGCAGCCATCTCAGTGATGGAGAACAGCCCTTCGCCAAGTATAAGGGCAGCTTGGGAGGTGTCGTGGAGTACAGCCAGGCCATGTGTACCCCCTAGAAATGTAGCTATGAGGTCAGAGTAACACACACAAGGGGAAGCTGGAACTGAACCAGAGCTGGGAAAGGCAAGGGTCTTCAGGACTTAGGCTCAGAGTGAAGGTGTCCTGGGAGTGCCAGATCCTCCTGCTTCCTCCAATCAAATGATCTCCATGGTCTGGTCTGGATAACAGACCTCACTGTAGATAGTAGTGAGAGATTCCTTTTTTCCAAGATATTGTTCGCCGATGCTCTGAAATACAACACAGAGGGTAGCTGGGTCAGCTGAAGGATAGAATGAATCTGCAGGGACCCACAGAGCCGGCACCCACTGCCATGCACTGCTTATGAATTCCTCTAAAGTGCCCAGCACCACGTCACACCCAGATGTAAATTTTCTTAGTCAATACTGTTGATTGTCCAGATATAGATAAATGGGCAGTTGGACCAGAAATGACAGGTCCTCGCATTGGAAGCCCCAGGCTGGGCAGAGAGACCTGGGAGGTCCCAGGGTGGCCAGTGCCCCGGCACTCACCTTGTCCTTGCCCTTCTGAGACACTTGCTGGCTGAGCATCTCAAAGGGGATACCACCATCATCAACCCCATGGTTCTTCTGCAATCTTCCACCTGACAAAATCAAAGCTCGAATCTGTGTCTTAGAAACATGTAGCCCTTCCCATTACCGTGGACCCCAAGGCTAAGACCACGCCCATCATTCCCTCTGCAAAGTCCACTACCTGGGAGCAAAATTCAGAAAAAGGAAGCTGAGGTTCTAGTGAGGGAAGGGAGGTGTCTGAGCATGTCAGGAGAAATGCAACTTACCCCTTTTTATTTCCTCCTCCTTTTCCTCCTCCTTTTACTCCTCCTCCTCCTCTTCCTCCTCCTCCTTCTTCTTCCTCTTCCTCTTCCTCTTCTTCTGGCATGTCTTCAAAACATACAGCTCAGTTCCCAGGACCAACTAGGATGCCTGGCAGCAGTCTAGCCACGTCCTGTTTGTGTGAACTTGTTCCTGTCACATGGGGAGAGTGGAAAGTGTTTAGACAGGAGATAATTTGAGACACCATTTGTCAAAGGAGAGACAGAGGGAGAAAACAGGAGGATAAGTTGGAAGGAGCCTGGCGTAGAAGCTGGAGAGAGAGGAGAATGGCAGGTCCATTCATTCAACCGGTGAGGAGCTGCTGCTTGGTGCCAGGGGTACTGAGATGAACAAACAGTATCCACAGAAGCCCAGTACACAGAAAGGAAGACAGAAAGTACCACTGCCAGACCGAGGGATCAGAGTTGCAATAGTGGTTTCCACCTTGTGCAAGGTCTTCAGGGAGGGCCTCCCAGAGGAGGTGCTGGCTAAAGTGAGGCTTGAGGGTGGAGTAGGTATTTCTCAGATCTTCAGAGTGGGGCATTCCAGGAAAGAAATGGCTGTGTCAAGACATCAGTGCTGGGAGTTGCCAGCACCCCACTGCAGCAGAAGTGGGACAAGGCAGGCAGAAGCTGTGGCAGAGGGAGTCAGACTGAGGCAGGTGTCTGTGCCCAGAGGGTGTTGTGGTCACACTAAGTGCTTAACACTCCAGGATGGGGTTCACAGGAGGAGGTGGCAGCTCATTTAAAGTGATGCTGACACATCAGATACCCCAGCAGCTCCTGGAGGAAGAGTTGGAGAGGATGAGACTGCACACAGGGTATCAGGTCATTCATTCATTCAGTGAACACTGACTGTGAGCAAATGTTGCCAGGAGCTGTGCTTGGGACAGGGATCAAAGGAAAACATCAAGGTGTTGCAGTCCACAGGGCAGACAGTGACATCAACACATCATTACTGCTCAGTGTTGGATGCCGTGGACAGCTCTCTAAGGAGGTGGGGCCTGAGGGCAGAACCAGATATATCATTTTCAGGGCACTGTGCAATGCAAATTTAAATTCCCTTGATTAAAAACTTCCAGGCATCAATGGCAGTGTTTTAACCAATTTTAGAATGCTAGTAAGTGAGGGACACTGTATGGTTGCATCCATCTTGTGCCCATAAAGCAGCCATGAACGAAAGAAATGCTTGGAAAGGAATAAAAAGGGAATCATTGAACACTCGGTGAGGGAGGGCTGTTGGAGTAAGAAATAGCATGTTCAAAAGCTGAGAAGCTTACAAGAAGCAGGACATATTTTGGGAAATACAAGAAAGCACTTTGGTGTAAAGTGCGTAGGTGAGGCCAGAAACATGAGAAGAAGAGCATCCCCTGAGTTCCATAGGGAAGTAACTGGAGGCCAGATCCCATGGATGACACAGAAAACAACCTAATTCTACCCACGTTTCCCAAAGCCACTCTGGATGTTCAGTGGAGGATGAATGGGGTGGGAAAGCTCCTGGAAGGCTGCTGTCTGAATCGCCGGAGACACGGTGGGGGTGTGTCAAGGAGGACATGGATAGGTGAAGGCGACTCCCACACTGCTGCATGTGGTGAGCAGGTAGAAGGTGGCGATAATGCTCATGGTGAAGAAGAGATCCCAGAACACTCAGATTCCAGTGCTCCCTGAGCTCGGGCAGTCCCTCCTGTCTTGCAGGCTATACTCACCACTCACCTTGGGCACAGACTTTCCCAAGGTCTAAGGTTGCAGCTTTCTGATCCACCTGGTTGCTTACCATACAGATAAACTGCTGTTCCACTGGCACAGGAGCAGGCTGACAGCCAGTGTCCAGGGATTGGGGGCTGGTCCTGGTGTGTCTCTCTGCTCCAGCTCTCTGAGGGGGTCCTTGCTCTCCCAAGTCACGTTCGAGTCCTCCGTGGCCCCTGGAGCCCTACATTCCAGAGTGATGTTACACAGGCCTGGTGTGATAGACAATGACTTGGCCAGGATCTCAGGGTGAGGCACAGGCTCTGGGGCAGGAGGAGACAAAAGAGGGGAATCTTACATGCGTGGAGAACATTGCACATCTCACTTCCTCATTATTTTCTCATTGCAGCCATGGCATGTGCCCTATAAGGAAAGCGGGTATATTCTGTAGATGAAACACAATTTGCCAAAGCTAAATACTGAGCAAATGAAATAAGTAGGGAATTCACTGTGTTCAGCTCCATTTGGGTTTCCCAGATTCAACAAACCTTAAAACCTTCCCAAAGAAAATAAAGGCCAGACTCCCCATTCCTAGGTCACAGTATATTCAGGAAATTGAGGTATTTTCAAGAAGAAGAAGAAGTCTTGGGAAGATGGGCTTGTACTGGCCCAAGGTCCTTCCCCCACATCTCCAGCTGAGGCCATGCCTGGGACTGCACTGGGAACAATGGCTCTGAGTGTGCTTGGAAAGTGCCACTAAACCTGTGGTGCAGACAGAAAAAAAGAGTCGGACTCACAGGCCAGCCTGAGAAATCATGTGGGACCTAAAACTGCATAAGCCACTCTCTCCATGGCAGGATATTTCCCTGTGCAGAGAAGAACTTTAGGGAAAGAACGAGCTGGTAAATGAATTTCCTCAGATGTGCTGCGGTGTAAACTTTCCCCGACACCTATAAAGCCTGAGAGATGTGGATTTGTGGTGGCTTATGTGACAGGCTGGCCTCAGGCTGGGGCTGAGTGAGAGGAGAGCGAACTGGGAGGACTCCATTCACAGGGATTCCCAACTGTGGCAGGCAGAACAGTGGCCTCCAAAATGTCTGGGGCCCAGTCCTGGTAACCCGGGAATAGGTGAGGCTGCGAGGCAAGGGGAATTAAGGTCACAGATAGAATTAAGGTTGCTAATCAGCTGACCTAAAAGAGGGAGATTACCCCGACACTCCTAGTAGAACACTAGCATCAGTGTTCTGTTAGATGATACAGGATGAGGGCCACAAGCCGTGGGATGCCGGCAGCCACTAGCAGGTGAAGAAGGCAAAAAAACGGGTTCTTCCCTGGAGTCCCCTGAAAGAACACGGCCCTGTCTTCATTTTAGTTCACAGAGACTGTGTCAGACCTCTGGCCTATAGCACAGTGAGATAAAAAATTTGTCTTGCTTTCAGTTAATAATTTTTGGGAATTTACGTCAGTGATTTAAGAAAAAAACTACTATACAAATAAAGTAATATTAATCATATATGGGATAGTCAATGTTATTGAAAAAAAAACTGCTATTTTGGCAAATTTCTATTTCCTCTCCCAAAACACTGAAAGAGCTTCATTCTCTGGTGTGACTCTCAGCTCTGCTATCTCTGGGGACTGTATGTGCCTTATTTTTGGTGGAGAAATTTGAGTCTGAAGGCTAGTGTCTGAATGGAATCCTGCGTGGGGCCTATGTGACTCTCTAGGGACAAAAAAATCAGGGAAACCAGAGGATGGGGAAGGGGTGTCACTCACCACAGACAGTGAGGTAGAAAACCTGGCCAGATAGTTGTCCCTCAGTTAAGTAGATCACGGCCGCATACTGCCCACCATCTTCGGGGGCCAGGTTCTCAATCCTCAGACACAAAATGCTGGGCACGGACCCTCTGCTTGAACTTGTCCTGGAGGCTCAACCAGGTTGGAGAGTGAGCCCTTCTGTGGACTTCCAGCATCAGTGTATCAGTTGACGGAGTGCCCAAACCCCATGCAACCTCTACCGGTTTGGCTCCTACATCTACTCTGAGTTTCTCAGTCACATTAAACAAGGCAGAACCTCCTTGGTTCCCCTTCAGATGAATGTAGTTCCCATAATCCTTCACAGCAGAGCCATGTGCTCCAGAAGCATTGGCTGCAGTGCTGCAGACACCTAGGGCATGAAGGCAGGAAACATGAGTATTTTCTCATCAAGAACAAATGAGAGAAACACAGAACTTTGGTTCAGAGTGACAGAAATCCATCCAAAATCCTCCCTTGATTTTGGGAGAGCTGCCTAGTATAGTAGATTTGAAGCAATTCTGGAATCAAGTTCTGGTTCTAGTGGAGTATAATCTTGAACAGGTTCCCGAACCCTCCGATCTTCAGTTTTCTTACCTGCCCCATAATGACAGTAAGGATCAAATGAGATCCTAGATCAAAAGCACCTAGCAGATTTTCTGACGTATGCTAAGTGCATAACTGCAGGAAGCAGCTTCTAATGTGACTCCCAAGGATGCCTCCCCACTGTGTGCACAGCCCTGTGTAATGCCCTCCCTGGAGTATGGGCTGCACTAATTACTTGCAAATGCAGCAAAAGTGATGCAGTGTCCCTTCTGTCTGGTTCACACCCTCTGTCTCCATCACTGACTCCTATTCAGGCCGATGAAGCCAGCTACTACATTATGAGCTGCTCTGTGGAGAGGTCCACATGGCAGGGAGCTGGGGGCAGCCTCCAGCCAACACCTTCATTCCAGTCTCTACGAACCAGACAGGACCCAGCTGAACCTTAAGTGGATCCTGACCTTTATAAACTGTGAGACAATGTCCCATGTTCTGTTAAGGAACTGAGTTCTAGGTTAATAGTTCACATAACAATACATAACTAAGGCAAAGATGAAGGTTGCTTTCCTTTGCCTTTCCTTCTAGGAAGGAAATTATTCAGGATAATATAGGGCAGGATAGGATGGGAAGTGAATTAGACAGGTTGTCCTGTGGCAACAATTACACAAATCAGGGATTAGAACAAGCAGAGTTAGTGTATTACTTACACTACATGTCTCACAAGGAATACTGAGGGAAGGGTCATGTCACTTGTGGGTCAGGGATCCACACCTTGTAGGAGCTCCATATCCTCACAGCCTCCTCAGCCCTCATGGTAAGGAAGGGAGGAGACAAGAGAGGAACCCGTGGGGTATGCACTGCACCATCCAGAAGTGATATAATCTCTTCATATTTTCTAGACAGAACTAGTCAGGAAACCCTGCTAACTGCCAGGGGCTGAAATTGTGGGATAGCAGATGAGC